CTGGCTGGCAGTCTGTCACAGAATGGCGCAACCTCTACTCCTACCACGTGCTCCATTCTTGCTCTCTACAGGGAGACTCTTCTAGAACCTCCAGGTACCCCAAAGGGGAGGGCAAGGACGACTGGAATCAGCCTCCCTCCTGCTACCCAGCACATTCAACCGTCCTTCCTGACCAATTCTGCTGCCACCAGCCAGAAAGGGTTCCAGGAGCCCTGTGCTTCCTGATAAACCAGCCCCACCAAGCATCAGCTGCAGCCGGAAGTGCTGCTGAGGGAAGAACTACCAGACGCTGGACTCTGATAAGACTTGACACCCGCAAACCACGCCACGGCTATCTTTTGTCCTAACCTTTTCTTCCCACTGTGATACCTGTCTGGTCAAACCTCATTAGGTCCCTTTGGTTTGTCTGTAAGTTACGGCCTTGGATGTGGTTTAATTGTTTGTCATTAAAGGAATAAAACTTTTCTGCTCAGAAAAAAAAGGAACCTCGTGGGTTCCCCAGAGGGCGCTCTCTGTTGAGGGAGTTTTTTCTTTACAACCTCTCCTTTGGCGAAGGATTCTGGCCAAAAAAGATAAAGGTACCCGACTCCCAGCTACAGGACCTTCTGCATGAGTATGGTAGCCCCACCTGACAAGTATACTGTTCCCATCAGCCAGCACCACAGCTACTTTGTCATCTTTTCTAGAATGTTTATTACTTGGACAACTTTCTTCCTTTTGTCTTAGTAAAAGGAAAATGATCTGTAAGCACCTTAAGCCATGTACTTTTCTTCCTAAGCCTGGAGGAGATAAAGGAGACTGAAAAAGGGGGCTTCATGAGTGTGACATGCAAGGGACAGTCATTTCCTGTAGATGAGAACTGCCCCAGGAGGTTTCCAAAGCTGTCATCTTTATGGAAAGATGGTCATATCTTTCTCCCCGGAGTGGCCAGCGGGGTCCAGTCAGTCACTGAGCACTTACCTATGGTACCATCAGGGTGCCTCAATGTTACTTGAAGTAACTGCAAAGTGTTAAGCACTGCTCTGGCTGCTCGTACACACCTGTTTACAAAGTTACATCACTTTGTAATTGCTTAAATACAAAGTGATGTCATGGAAGGAGCAGGAAGGCCTGAAGACTTTGCCCACAAGGTGACCCTGTTGTTTGGAGCGACACCACTCTTCGCATGTATGCCACAAATTATATTAATAATAAACACTAAGTATCCTCTGCTTTTCCAAAGTTTGCTCCAAGTCACGCTGCTCTTATGAAAGGGCTACATTACTACCTGTTTACGATAACCAAAAGAAACCCCAAGAGGATTTTTGCTTTTGGAAAAGCACCACCAGCGTTCTGCGTTTGTTTTGCAGCGAGCCAATAGAGAGTAGTGTCTCCAAGCTCCGTCCTGGGAACCACACTCAGCATCCAATCAGCATTACTTTGAGCTGAGTCTGTGAACATCACACATTTGTGTGTGTGATTCAGTAGTTTATTTTTTGGGTCTGGAAATGTTCAAAGATCTTTCCCATAGAAATGAATGGTAATTGCTTCTTCACGCTATGCTATTTTGGCTTACAAAAGGTTTCATAGGAACACCCTGCTTTAGGACAGTGGGGGGGGGTGGGGAACCGGTCCTGTGTTTAAAGAACCCTGGTAGCACAGTGGTTTAAGTGCTTGACTGAAAGATCGGCGATTAAAACCCATTTACTGCCCCATTGGGAAGAAGATGTGGCAGTCTGCTTTTATAAAGATAGAAACCCTATAGGGCAGTTCTACTCTCTAACATATAGGATTGCTCAGTCCAGACTGAGGACAATGGGATGGGTTTTGCTTATACTGTTTGCTTTTTACCAGACTGGTAAAAGTATGAACTCATACAATGATCACAACATTGTAAGATAAGCTCTGTTGTCGTCCCTGCTAAACAGAAGATCCCAGAAGTCCAGAAAGCTTGAGTAACTGATGGAGGACCACAGAAGTGTGACCTGGCAGAGCTGGAATTCAAACACACCCACCCAGGCTAACTGCTAAACGTGTTGTTCTAAACTATTCACTGCGTTGCCTCTATATTTGGGAGTGCCTCCTCTGTCCCAGGCACTGGTTAGGTGTAGGGGATGGTGTAATTAGCAAAACTGACCAAACCCCTACCATACTGAGCCTACAGGACAAGAAAATCAGGAAATCGAAGATGAGGGCAGTGCTCTGAAAAAGGAATCAGAGTAAGGGAGGGAGGCAGACAGCTGTGCTGGGGAGGGGAGCTGCAGCTTAAAGGAGGCCAGCACCTGAAATGCAGTGTTTGAGGATGAGCTGGGGGCAAGGAGAAAGTGGGCCACAGAGAGGGGGTGAGTGAGGCAGACTGTGCGTACCACACTGAGGCCTACTGAGTGACAGGCAGCCTTCTCGTAGGGTTTATATGGTGCTGTAGAAGCAGGATAATGCACTCGACCGCAAGGTCGGCGGTTCAAATCCACCAGCCACTCCTCAGAAATCCTACACAGGGCCGCCAAAAGTCAGAACCAACTTGACAGCACTTAGCTCGGTAGAGTAGGGGCCCTTTGCTGAAGGAAGGCGATGTGACATTGTATTTGGAGACTCCAGCTGGGCATTGCCAATCCCACTTCCTAATGATCTAAATCTGAATGCTCCAGGGCAGTCAGAATAGGACTCAGGAGAGGCCAGGATTCTACCGAAAGTCTAGGTCCACCTCCATCAATGCCCAGTTCTGCCGAATGTGGTTTTGTCCTAACCTCATGATAGGTTCTGATCCCACTAGCTTGGATTAATGCACTAGAAGGTTGGTGATTTCAGTCCACCAGAGGCAACTAGGAAGAAAGACCTGGCTAGCCACTGAAAACCCTATGGAGTACAGTTCTACCGTGACACACGCAATGTCAGCATGAGTCAGAATCAACTTGATACTGGTTACCAGTTACCAGTGAGCAGGAGGAAAAGGACAGCTCCTGGGCCTATTGTGTTAATTGCGTCCTGGTGTGGCACTGTGGGTTAATACGCCAGACTGCAAAGCCGTTTGAACTGCAAGGTCAGTGGTTCAGGGTCGCTATGGGTCGGAATCGACTTGATGGCACTTAACAACAATACCAAGAACGGCTACATGACGATCTCATCTTATACCGGCATACTCTGAAGTAAGAAGGATTAGAGTCCCATTTTGTAGACGAAAAGAACGAGACACAGAGTGGTGAGGGTATTTGATCAAGGTCACAAGGCTAAGGAGTAGAGAAGCCTAGGAAGGGACCTGGGACCACACTCATCATCACTGTGTGCACACACACACCCCTGCCAAGAGTCAGGCCCAGGCTGGGGACAAGGTTGACAGGCTGCCCTCACAGGCTGCTGGGACAGCAAGCAAGTCAGGAGATATGGGGCTGTGGGGCCAGTGGAGGAGTACAAGGCACCACTGGTGGGCAGGGAAGGCTTCCTGGAGGAAGGAGCTGGGCAGAGCCATGAAGAATCACCCGGACGTGCCATGTGTTGCGTGTGTGTAGGGCGGTTTAGTGATGTATGTGTGTATGTGTGTAGGGGGGTTTATGTATTGGGCGCAGTCCTTGAAGACCCTGTAACACTGGCTCAGGATGCAGAGAGACAAGATGGATGAGCTGCTATCAGATGGGGAGGTGCAGGCAGGGACCTGGGTGAGAGGTCAGACCCTCTCTGCTACTCGCTGAACACTATGGAACATTCAGGAAGTACTGGTTAGGTGCCTGACAATGTGTTCGTTCAACACGTGGACTGACCAGCTCATGGGATGGCCCCCCAAACCCTCTGAGGTGCTATCTTTAGCTTTCTGAAAGGTCATGGAAAAGGTCCAGTGAAGTAGTGGTTAAGACTGACCACTATCCGAAAGGTCAACAGTTTGAACCCACTAGTCACTGCAAGGAGAAAGAAGAGGTAAGTCTGCTTCCACAGAAGCCCTACCGGGCAAGGTTTGTTAAGTGCCGTCGAGTCGGTTCCGACCCATAGCGACCCTGTACAAGGTTTCCAAGGCTGTAAATCTTTGTGGGAGCAGAACGCCTCATCTTTCTCCCGTGGAGCAGCTGGTAGTTTTGAACTGCTGGCCTTAAGGTTTGCAGCCCGATTCGTAACCACTAAGCTACCAGAGCTACTGGGCACGATGGGTCACTATGAAATCCACTGGAGGACAGTGGGTTTGAGAGTCTGTTTTTGAAAGGTCAAGGCTTCCCCTCAGAGCCTTTGAGTGTTTATCAAAAGGCCACACAACTGGTGCACAGAGCCAAGGTCCAACCCCAGGAGAAAGACCCTCGTTTGGCACCAGACCTTGTTCTTTTTCCACGGGCAGGGTTTTTGCTCTGTCTCCAGACCACCCGAGGTACGACTTGTTACTATTTTTCGTTAAAGAGACCACTTAAAAACAAAACTGTGATCGATGTTTTTCTAAGTGCATGTATTGCCATTCTCAATCAAAACCAAAAGGCTATTTGGAAGGCCAAACATGAAACACAGTGGATGGATAAGCCTGCCCAAGTTTTGCCTGAACCAGAATGCGAGGCCCGCCTCTTCGGCAAGATATACCGGGAGCAGCAGCGGGCGCTGGGAGGCGTTAAGGGCAGAGCTGCTCCCGGGGGAGGCGTCCCTCACACTGTCGGGGGCTTGAAAGAGGCCTCCAAAGGAACAGCACTGAAGGCCACGTGAGGAAGTTGTTTGGTCCTAAGCTCAAGGTCCCCTGTCCTCCTGTCTGCTGCCAACGAGACACTGGCCCACGCTCTGGCGAGCTGGGCTCTACTGTGGACCCAGTGGCTTCGGAGAGACGATCACCCTCCCTGAGCCTCAGTTTTCCAGCTGAGAAACTGGGTCGGATGCTTTTGGGGAATTTGGAGCCCCCGGGGCTCTTTTAGGTGGTAGTTCTGGCAGTAAGCAGAAAGCTCTCCCTGGGCAGAGGTGGCCAGCCTCTGGCAGGGCGGTCCGGGAGCGCAGGGGCGCTTACCTGGCGGCCAGGGCCGCCCCCGCCAGCTGCGCGTAGCTGCCTGGCGTCGGGTCCGGGCCGAAGCATGGGCCGGGGCGGCGGGGCGCAGGGCGTGACGGCGCTCAGGAGCCAAGCGATGCGAGGCCGAACCCGGGAGCACTGTCTACCCGCGGGGCCCAACAGCGTCAGTAACCCCGCCATGGCGCACTGTGAGGTGCGCGGTCCAGAACTCTGAGCTGCCGGCAGGCGAGCGGGGTCGCGCATATCCCTGGCTCCGCCTACCCCGGAGCTCAGCGCGATGTGGGCGGGGCCCGGGACGCGCGAACTCCTGGCTCCGCCCACCTGCCTGTCCCTTCGAAGTCCAGCGCAAAGTGGGCGGGATAGGAGGCGCGCCATTTTCCTTAGCTCCGCCTCCCGTGGCCGGAGTTCCACGCGAGGTGGGCGGGGCCTGGATCGAGCGTCGCGCTACTGGCTCCGCCCGCTGGCCCCGCCCCTCCCTCCCAGGAGCCTGGCGCTCAATGGGCGGGACTGGAGGCGCGCGCACTCTCTTTGCCTCCGCCCACCGTCCCCCTGTGGTACAGGTGTCGTTGGTGAGGTACGTCTTTGCAGTTTCTGCTTTCCAGGGGTTTTGAGTTTCCTGTCTGAGGTTTCCAGCTTGCAGAGGGTGGTTGGCGGGATGTTTTATTCTGCAGGTACGAGGGTGGGCCTAGGGCTTTCACCTGAGAGTTTTTAATTCTACAAACTAGGTGAAAGATGGAAAATGTATACAGGCAGACCTTTGCAATAAATCAAATGCCTCACTAAAGCGAGTCACCCATCATGGTGTGGCGCTGTCGGATAAGCACTAGACTGTGAACCACAAGGTCGGTGGTTCAAATCCACCAGCCTCTCCTTGGAAACCCTATACAAGGTCGCTATAAGTCGGAACCAGAGTTCTGGTGTGGCGCTGTGGGTTAACGTGCCAGACTGCAAAGCCGTTTGATCTGCAAGGTCGGCGGTTCAAGCCCACCAGCTGCTCCTCGGAAACCCTATACAGGGTCGCTAGTGTCGGAATCGACTCGACGGCACTTCACAACAACAGCAGTGCATATAAAGAAGTTCTGGTGTCGACTCGGCCTGTAGGACAAGCATTGGACTTCTAACCACACGGTCGGTGGTTCAAACACACAAGCTGCTATTCAGAAACCCTATACAGGATCGCGATGAGTCGGAAATGACTGAACGGCACTTCACAACAACAACAGTGCCTATAAAATATATACTTACTGTAGTCACGGCACTTATCAACAACAACAACAACAACAACAACAAAATACAGAGCACAGCTCTGGTAGCATAGTGGTTAAGAGTCGCGCTGCTAACCTGAAGATCAGCAGCTGGAAACTACCAGCCGTTCTGCGGGAGAAAGATGAGGCTTTCTGTTTCCTTAAAGATTTACAGCTTCGGAAACCGTATACAGGATTGCTCTGAGTGGGAACAACTCCAGGGCACACCACCACCACCATCCAGAGCCCTCTACAGAGCTCTAGTAGTGCTGTGGGATAGCACTGGACTGCCAAACACAAGGTGGCCGGTTCAAACCCACCAGGGTCTTCATTGGAGAAAGATGAGGCTGTCTGCTTCTGTAAAGATTGACGGTCTTGAAAACCCTGTATAAGCTTGCTATGAGTTGAAATTAAAAGTCCATTGGACTGTCAGAGAACAAACAATTCTGTCTTGGAGGATGTACAAATAGAATGTTCCTTAGAAGCAAGACTTCCTCTTGTGTACTTTTTTTTTTTTATTTCATCATTTATTTAGCTCTTTAAGCTCTGGCAACTAGGTTTTTACAAGCTGGTGAACACTGACAAATTATTTCTCCCACAGAACTGTAACCACACATTCCCAGACAGTATAAATATATGGTTGAACTAACATTAATACACATCACCATTTTCTCAATTACATAATAAAACAAATGATGAAATATCCAAATATTAAGTTACACAGCTCAAAAGTAATATAAAAATTAGCAGAAACCCACTTTTTTTGTATGCAAGAGGTTGGAAAGGGGAAAAAAAATCACACTTCAAACAAAGTTGGTTAACAACTTCCAATCGATGAGAAAAAAAAACCAGATTAAAAAATTTTATGATTAAGAATAGTTATAGCTACAATAACCAAGCAGTTCTACCTCTTAAAAAATATTTACTAAATTAAAGCGCATATTCTACATGTTCTGTACAAGACAAAGGCAATATTTTCCTAAAAATTTGGTAGTCCACTCCCATTCTTTATCCTAGTCCTCCCTGTTAAGTAGCACGCCAAAGTGCAAACAGTAAATTAACTGTAAGGATTTTTTTTTTTTTTTTTTGGTCTGGAGTCATTAAAGACATGTGCTTCTGTACAATGTAGGGTTTTTCAAATGAAGTTTATATAAAGCCATTAAATAATCATTAAGACTTTGTAAAAAAAAAAAAAAAAAAGGTTGTGCAAACCTGATGTATAGTGGGTACGAACGTGGGAGATGTAAGCACAATCTGAGCAGGTAAATAACCATATAGGTTCTATCTTCAAAGTTTGAAATGACTGAAGGAATAAACCACATAAAGGTCTAGTGTTCATAGTTCCTGGGATTTTTTAGTTCTGTGTTGTTGTTCTGTATGATACTAAAAATATACAAGTATTGTGCTGGGTATTTTGACACCTAATCATGCTAAGTTTCTTATATAATGATAAGAGTCTGGCATTGGAATCGATTTAAAGTCTTATAAGAATACTGCATGATTTCAGGAAAGGTCAATTGGTACAAATGATAAGGACATTTTAAATGCTGAAGAGTAAGAAACCTTTGCTAAATGTCCAAATAGGCTGACTGCAAATCTGTCAAGCCTGGCAAAACTGCCTTCAATACTCTTATGGAAGCTTTATTCACCAAGCTAACATGTTGGTAAATATGCGTGAGAAACTAGGTCCTGTCCCAAGTTCCACTTTCAAAGTAATACCATCAGGCACTCATTTTATTGAATGCAACAGTTATTTCTATGACCATAGGAATCTTTGAAGCACAAATGCATTTTACGATGATACTTCTCCAAGTACAAAAGTTGCTTGCTATTAAAAACTCCACGTCGCTTTTGCTTGATGAACTGTACGGCATCTTCATATTTCATTCCACCTTCAATTAATGCTAGGGCAACAAGCACTGGAGCTTTTCCAAGTCCTGCAACACAATGAACAGCAATACAACAACCAGGTTCTTCACAAAACTTAACTTTCACAAGACTTAACCAGTCATCAACAATCTGGTTGGATGGCGGTGCACCATCATCAAAAAGCCAATCAAGAACATGGATGCCTTCTTTTTCCACAAGAGCAGTGTCATAAGTTGCTTCACATACTCTTACTATTGTGGTAAGTCCATACTTGTAAGTCCCTGTATACATTTATTTAAGGTTGCATTGGTTGGATAGTGTGTAATAAGAAATCTCATGTTCTTGTATGTGACTTCCACAGGAGCTAGACGGTTCATTCGAGCCATGTTGATTTTGTTTTAAAAATTCAATAGAGTTATGAAAGAATTTAAAAAAGTGAACACAGAAATGATGTAAAGAAACTAAAGTCTACTTCGAAAGACTCCACTTGTAATTCTCAGTGTTTTCAGTCTGGTGTTGGGAGGAATGGAAAATGAAATGAACCTCCTAACAAGAAACAGCAGTTCTTCAATGCAGAAATCCTGAGGCAATAGAAAGGAAGTGCACTGAGGTTTACCCCATTCAGGTCAGAACTCTGGAAAATTGCTCTGGGGACTTCAAGTCAACACTTGGGTGTCCAGGCTAACCGCTCTTATGGGGGCTTCTTGGTGGAGTAGTAATGAATTTCCACAGTTCACTTGTCTGCAAGAGGTCGTGCTGTGCCTGGCAGGAATCTTCGCTGTCCTTCAGAAACTCCATCAAGGTGTGACCAAGAACACCACAGAACTGCCCTCTGCTACAATATCCTGCCTTTCTCTGGGTTAATAAGTTGATTCGGTGCTTTTGATAGCAAGGAAATCAGGAGAAAACTCCACAATTTGTATCTTCACCCTCAACTCTCCAAATGGATCCCTCTCGTGTACTTTGGACATGTTATCAGGAGGGAGCAGTCCCTGAAAAGGACATTATGCTTGGTAAAGTGGAGAGTCAGCGAAAAAGAGAGAGACCCCCAACAAGATGAATAGACACAGTGGCTGCAATATTGGGGACAGACAGAACAATTGTGAGGCTGGAGCATGGTCAGGCAGTGCTGTTCTCTTCTGTTGTACATGGGGGTCACTATGAGTCAGAACTGACCTGGCAGCACTTAACAAAATCATGAGTCAGAATCAACTGTTTGGCACTGGCCTTGGGTTTGGGTAGTCTGGTAATTGTGCAATAGCATTATGAAAAATTTTGAAATACTGTTAAATGACAAAAATGTGACACAGAGACACAAAGTGAGCACATGTTGTTGGAAAAATGTCACAGACACAGACTTGTTCCATGCATCATTGCCACAAATCTTCACTGTGTGAAAAGTGTAATTATTTGTAAATTGCAATCAGCCAAGTATGGTAAAAATGAAGTCCGTCTATGGACATGTTTACTTGGTAGCTCAAAAGAAGAAGATAAGGAAATTGAGATTAATAAAGGTTGCCATTGCTCCTAGAAGGCAGAATAAAATTGCCCCATAGAGTTTCCAAGGCTGTAATCCTGATGTGGGAGTCTTGGTGTGGCGCTGTGGGCTAATGTGTCAGACTGCAAAGTGTTTTGAACTGCAAGGTCAGTGATTCAAGCTCACCAGCTGCTCCTTGGAAACCCTATGGGTTGGAATCAACTCAACAGCACTTGACAACAATAACAAGTGATATGGCGTTGTGGGTTAATGCGCTAGACTGCAAAGTTAGTTTGAACCTCAAGGTCGGCAATTTAATCTCACCAGCCACTCCTTGGAAACCCTATACAGGGTCGCTAGGAGTCAGAACTGACTCCATGGCACTTAACAACAATCTTTGTGGAGGAGTCCTGGGGTGGTGATGTAGGATAAGCACTGGATTGCTAACCACAGGTCAGTGGTTCAAACCCAGCAGCTGCTCCTTGGAAACCCTATGCAGGGTTGCTATAAGTTGGATTGGATTCCATGGCAATTAACAACAACAACAATCTCTAGGGATGCAGATTGCCACATCTGTCTCCCTAGAAGTGGTTGGTGGGTTTGAACTGCCTACCTTTTGGTTGGCAACAGAGTGCTCTATCCACTGCACCACCAGGGCCCCTTACTCTAAACACAGGATTCCATTTCTCAGTTTGTTGCCCAAAAGACAGGAAACACTCACGTTAGTCCAGACCCACAGACTCTTCATTGCCGTGGTGTGCCTTTGAGTCAGTTTCGACTCCTAGTCACCCTGTATAGGATTTCTGAGGCTGTAAATCTCTACCGGAGCAGAAAGCCTCTTCTTTCTCCCCAGGAGCAGTTGGTGGGTTTGAACTGCCAACCTTGTGGTTAGCAGTCCAGTGTTTACCCAACAGCGCCACCAGCACTTCTTAGGTTGATTCATGCCAGCCCCAAATGGGAAAAAGGCCAAATGCTCATCATCTGGAAAGTGAATAAACAAACTCCAGCACATTCCTGGGGTTCTGGTGTGGTGCTGTGGGAAAAAGCACTGGGCTGCAAGATTGGTATGAATGACAAGGTCGGTGGTTCAAACCCACCGGCCACTTCTTGAACCCTATACATGGTTGCTATGAGTTGGACCCAACTGGATGGTACAACAACAGCAGTATATTCCTACAATGGAATGAGTTATGGATGAAGCCGAAAGCCATTATATTAAGTGGAAAGAAAACAACAACAACAACAACTCCAAAGCGGATTGAATGGCAGTGGCTTGTGCTAGGTGCCACGAGTCATCTGTCGAGCACTTAACCAATGCGCCACCAGGGCTTTCTGGTGTCTGCTTCTGTTGCAGACCGTGTAAACCTGGTCAGAAGTTTGAAGCCCACTGGGCCCGAGCGTTGCAGACAATGCAGGCCACAGGCTCTGAGGAAAAGATTCTGGCCACCGGGCAGTCATAACAAATTGTTTTTCATCTTAGTGTTCAGTTATGTTTTATTAATTCCAAACATGACCCCTTAGTATCCACAGATAAATGTAATATTTTCCTAAAGCCGAGACTGTAAAGGTTTCAAGGTTAAACCTTTCTCCAAAGGATTAACTAAAAATAGCTTAGTTATTTCCCGGTTCTTTGGTCTATAGACAAAAATGCCATCCTCCCTAAACCTGTCCCAGGTGCTGGTTATTCAGCCAAGTTCCTGAAAACCTGGCTCAGGAAGCCAAAACAGCGGGACTCCTCCCAAGCCTTTTGTCCTTCCCTCTCACCTTCCCCCAACTGGGGCTATAGATATGTTAATTGAGCCTGAGAAACCAAGTTGCAGGCCTGGGATTTGAACCAGCGAAGTACGATGTAAAGTTACCTGAATGTCTGGAAAATTACTGATGTTAGCGTACCTTGTCTTAGTCCCTCCCAGCTTGGTGTGAAGCTCCTCCCCTAAATAAAACAGAGACACAGGCCGGCCCAGGTGTGCATTACAGGCAGGCGGTGAAAGAGTGCACTACAGCTAGCAAGGCGTGCTTTATGGGCACAGCTAAGATGTTTACCATACAGGACCTTACTGCCCTTATGGCTAATATGTTCAACACGCCAGAGCTGCCGGACACCAGTAATGCAACCATCCTGGTTTCGGGGTGCCTCTTTGTCTCCCTCCTTCTGTCTTTCTGTGTATTCTTTTGCTATCCCTATCGCCGCCAGATATCCCCTCCTCGTGAACCAAACACTCGTGAACCAAGTTCCTATGTCGAGGCCGGTCCCCGACATGCTTCTGTAACAGAAACAGACATCCTCATCAGAAACGGAATCTGCGTCAGTGGGTTCGGTTTCGTGGGCAGTCTATGAAGTGTGCAATAATAGCATTATCTAATCGTTGGAAATTTGGCGAGAATGACCACGATGGGACACAGAAACACAAAGGGAGGTTGACACGATGGTGGAAAAACGGCAACTGAAGACTTGCTCCACACAGAGCTGCTACAGACCTTCAATTTGCCAAAAGCGCAGTATCTGCGAAGCGCACTTCAGAGAAGGAAAATAAAACAAGATTGACCTGTTTCTGTTGTTTTCCACCCATTGCCATCAGTTTGATTCCTACGTAGGGTTTCCGAGGAGCAGCTGGTGGGTTTGAACCACCAACCTTGTGGTTAACAGTCCAGTGCTTATCCTACAGCGCCACACCAGGACTCCAACAGCAAACCTAGAAAAAGGAGAAAGGGAGATTTTTGTTTGGAATAGGGGGGCTTAATGTTTATACTGATAGAAAAGGATAGAGAATGGTTGCAGAACTTGAAGAATGCAGTAGTGTCATGTGTAGAATTGTACATGTAGAAATTGTTGAGAAGGCATATGTTTCATTATGTATCTATTCACCCCAATAAATAAAAAAAGAGTTCCCCTTTCCATCGCTTCCCTACCATGTGCCCAGCACTGTGCTTGTCCTGTGTGGTTCCTGCCCTCGGGACACATTTACATTCCTCCAGGTGGAGCTGGCTGCATAATTTTCAGGGATCCATGCAGCTTTTTTCCTACTCTAACCCCCGAGGCCTTTGTTAAGAGTAGGCAAAATGCATTCAGAGGTACTAAAATCTACCACATTTATTTTCTTTCAATTTCTCTTTATGACTCTGTGTTTCTCTCTTTGTCTCTTCTCCTCTTTCTCTTCCTGTCCTGATGTTTTTATTAGTTATTTAAAGTCGTTCCAAGCGATGGAATCCTGTCATGGTGCTGTAGGATCAGCACTGGACTGCTAACCGAAAACCGAAAGGTTGGCAGTTCAAATCCACCAGCTGCTCCTTGGAACCCTGTACAAGGTTGCTATGAGTTGGAACCAAGCACATAACAACAACCACAAGTGAAGACAAATTAAAATTCGAACTTTTCATATGTGTTTTATTGTGTGTTTTTACAGTGCCAGTTTTAAATGTAAAGGAAAGTGCATTTCACACACCAAAGCACCAAATGACACAACTTGTGTCTTACAGCTTGTAGGCGCCCCTGGGAGGTGCAGCAACTGCTAACTCAAAGATGGGAGGTTCAAATCCACTCAGAGGTGCCTCGGAAGAAAAGCCTGGTAATCTCCTGAAAAATCAGCCTCAGAGTATCCTATGGAGAACCACTCCAACACACGCAGGGTCGTCATGAATCTGAGTTGACACAGTGGCGAGTGGTATGTATTTTACTCTTTTTTAAAGAAGTTTTTATTGTGAATTGAGTGATAGTTTACATGGGTGAACGTCCGTTTTACACTCATCATTTCATTGCAATGATTATAATCTCCTCCATGCATCATCATTCAACAGTATTTGCTTCTATTCCCTTGTTTGTTTGTTTTATTTTTGGAGGGGGAGAGTGGATGTACATAAAAACGCTCAGGAATATGTAATCATTTAAACAACCAAAGATTA